TAGGTTTACATTAAATTAATGTTTTAAAAACGGAGTTGGGCTTGGATAGGGGATTTCATGGGTATGGTTATATCCGTGGATGGACATACATGTATATACAATATAAATGTATATAGGATTACGTTAATTGTTTAGGTTTATTAATAATTCAATTTATACCGTTTTATTATTAATGATATTAGGGTTTTATGTTTTATGTAATCACGTTGGGTTATGAAGTAACCGACTTATAATTAGGCTGGAATTGAGATTAGGGTTTTATAGAGCCTATATATATATAAGTTGTATGTCTGCAAGGGTTTTAGAACCCTTTTTCCCGTAACAGAGGGACACAGTGAAACAGAGGAGAATAGAGGGAACTAGTTAGGGTTGCAGCCGTTGATTTAAGGTTGGACCAAGGAGGAAGGAAGTGGTTGATTATGAGATAAAACTGGAGCAGTAGGAGGGTTGTTGGTGGTCGTTAGTTCGTCAAAGAATTTAGAAACGACGTTGCAAGGTTTCAAATCGAAACCTAAAAGCAAGTTCTATTTCTATCTTTTTCCCTTAAACCTGTGTTCTGTGCATGCCTAGGGAAACTCCAGGAACTTTAAGTTATTAAAATCAACCATGTGTGCATGCTAAAACTTGAATTACATTATATTAATTATATGTGTATAAGTTTGAATTTTGTTTAAAGTATATCGCATGAGTTGTGATTTTAACTTGTTTAAATTATGCATAAGAGGTTTACATAATGTTTAGGGTTGTGCTGGACTTAAAACAGTAGCCTTAGGACCTTAATGGAGGAAGACGTAGTAGCCGGAGCCGTGGAAGACGAACTGTCATAGTTCGGTCAACCGGTTTGGTGCACACGTCGACCGGTTTGCATGAACCGGTCGACAACTTGGTGACTCGGTCGACCGGTTGGTTGAAATCGGTTAACACCTTATGGAAAAACATCAATTGGTTATTAAACTAGTCGACATCTATGATGAATCAGTTGACATCTTTAAGATTCAGTGGACTTTTGCAAACCAGTTGACATCTAGGAGTTTTACATCAACCGGTTTAGGCGAACCAGTCAACACTTGGGATTTTACATCAATTGGTTCCTGTAATCGTCATATGGGTTATCCAGTGTAGGATTTTGGCACATAGGTTGGTATCTAGGGATGGTTGGGCCTGGTTAAATAATTTTAATGAATTTCTTGGACCCGAATATTAACTGGAATGCATAACATACAATAATATACTAGGCTTGGAATAAAATTATCTTAATGGTTAATTTATGGGTATTGTTTTAAACTATTTTAAATCAATCAACAGAATTAAAATAGTTTAATCATGTTGTGGATGTTAGATATTCTATTTGAGATGCCTGATAATTTATATAAAATAAATTATATGCATGCTATTTAGATTTATTATTATGGCTAAATAATATGCAAAGATTGTACCTATGTTTTATATCATGGCTATATGAGATCAATGGATGTATTTATAATTGTATGCATCTTTGTTTGATTTAATGCATCGGTATGGGACGGTGGCATTTTAGGGACGGATTAACTAAAGAAGTTAAGTCCTACCTATTCCGAAATAAGTTGGATTAATTATAAAAGTTAAGTCCTACTTATATACATGTATATGCACCGGTATGGGACGGTGGCATATTAGGGATGACTTAGTTCAAAACACTAAGACTTACCTATACTAGGGACGGATTAGTTCAAAACACTAAGTCCTACCAATTCTGAAATAAGATGGATTAACTACAAAGGTTAAGTCCTACTTATAACTATGTGTCAGGTCAATAAACATTTTGAATGACATACCTTGAACGGACTTTATATGCATTATTATGGTACCATGATATGAGCTTGAGTCTTAGGACCATGGTTATGGTGCGTATATCACCTAGGATGGATATCTGGATAGAGGTGCTGTTCCCTGGTAGGTCTAGGTACTCATGACCACATTTTGTGCGATTTGCATGGTGTCTCTACTCAGGCTGAGACAGACCTATTGGACTAGTGAACGTCTTATAGTGTGTACTTATACATATATAGACTACTCTAGATATTGTTGAGCTATCTATGATGTATCTGCGTATCGGATTTCTGTATGAATCGTAGTAGAATAGGACTTGCATGTGGGCCTGACCCACTCTCTTATTTTTTTCAGGTGCTCGTCAGTTCCAGGGTTAGAGCTTGGTTGTGCAGAGCAGATACAGACACTCATTCCTCCGACTATGTAGGACTACTTTCTATGTTTAGCTTTAGATTTTATTTCAGTTGTTTCAGTTTCAGTTTGGAATATTAATAGGGGTCCACAAGATGGATTCCCGAGTTGTTTTATTCTGGATTATTGGATTTTAACATTATTAACTTTTGAGTATTTTATAATTAGAATTCTTTTCAGCTTTAATATTTATTTCATAATTCAGTTTTGTATTCCGTATTCGTTTTTAAATATTAATTGTTTGATATTCCCTCGGGTTCGGGCTTGGGCCTGATCAACCCATGTCTCAGATTCGAGGGGTGTCACAACTATGAGTTTGCTCACAGACAATCATGTTTCCTTATTTAAGGTGTCACATTGAGTGGTTTATGTTTGCTGAAGCTCTTCTTGCAGTGACTTGATTGTTGTGTTGTACATATATTTTCTTCTTTTAATACAAGCTTACTATAACAAGGGTCATTTGTCCCTATCGGAATCAGATAGGAAAGTGATTGGGTATAAATGGGTAGATATGCAGCACCATCTAATAGTTCGAGCTTTTGGGTAAATGGGTAAGCGTCCACCCATTATAGTTGGTATCAGAGCCAAACTCAGTCCTTAATCCGGTGCCACGCCAAGCGCATGGTCCGGAAGACGTCCGGGTGAGCACCCCGAGTAGGCAGGGTGGCGCGAACCGCAACGAGGGCATTGCAGTTGGGGTGGGGGAGAATGTAACAAAGGTCATTTGTTCCACATCGGAATCGGATGAGAAAATGATTGGGTATAAATAGGTGAGTATGTAACACTACCCAATAGTTCGATCTTTTGAATAAATGGACAAACGTCCACTCATTACACTTACCCGTTCAATAAAAAAAAAAAATACTTCGCATTTATTCAAATATCCAAACTACCCTTACTATTTTGACTAGCAGTGGTCAAATACGCTATTCATTTAACACCACAGCATCCATATCAGTAACTCTATGTGGAATTTTGTGGCATATGGGGTTTGAGGATCATGTGGGTCATTTCTCTAGGCAGGAAACCATTACATGGATTTCTTAGGCTGCGTTCAATGTAACAGAACCCGAGCTCATGTATCATCAACATGCCATGTATATCAAATTGCTTGAATTTCCCGGTAAAAAAAATGCCATGCATATTTTGTACTTAAAAGTACCAGCAAAAAAACGTAGACCACATTTTAACTAATCCTTTCCACTCTGTACACTAACGAAACCGTGAGCATGTATGCAATCTATATAGGAAATTAAGGCGAACCAGAGCCACCAAAAATAGTTTTTATTCTTTTTTATGCTTCAGTTCTTTCAGCATAAAATTTTATAAACCAAATATATTTTAATATGAAAATTTTAAATGAAAATATTATTTTTCTTGTTATTTCTTTTGTTTGGTTGAATTTTTTAAATTTATTTGCCATTTCTAAGGAAAATGCACAACAAACTCTTAAATAAGCAGGTATATAAACGGCATTTTATAATTATGTACATATAGGTAGTCCTATTTTCACACACATTACAATCAAACACAGGAAAAAAGGAAAACACAGTGATAAGGACTAAAAAGTAATCACAAACCTTATATTGTTCTTAAGACTAGCTATGGGAAAATAAAATAAAATAAAGACTTCATCTTTGTTTCCACTAGCAAGATATATTTGTAAAATCTATTAGTAGCATTTTAAATTTGTATTCCACTGGTTTTAAGTCATGATGCATTAGCATTTCAGTTCCCAAGCAAACTCTTAAGCCCTATGGCAACCCCGATCACTAGGCCAATTAGGCGATTCTCTTAAAGAAATACGGGTTTCTGCTTCTGGTGGCAACATGCTATTGGGTCATGGGTGGTGAATGAGAAACATTAGTTACATTTATATATGAAAAATCGGCATCCAATGCAATATATACTCAAAACTCCAAATAGGTTTTTGACAACCCATTCCTAATATCTTTTGAAGCTCCCAAATGTGACAACCAAAAATGAATTAAACACCCTAGCTAATTAATCAATTGGAACACAAAGTATATAAAAGAATAACTGAATGATCTATTTCTTACGTCCAAATGCTCTCATCACTACCACTCTAAGTGGCTTAAAATCCAGTAACTTTTTTGTCAGTCAGGCATGGAAACAAAAGTTAATTTTAGTACAGTGTAAAAGCTGAATTAATACAAGTGTAACAGCAGCTTTCAAAGAGTGCATTTATATTAGGTGTTCACACCAAATTGTCATCTATCCAAAACTCCAAATGATAACTTCAAAACCATTTTGGTTGCAATTGTGTGGGGATATATATACATATATATATATATATATATATATGTATAGACACACACACAGGAATTTAGGAATCTCTCTCCTACTAGCTAGAGAAGAACTGTTGTTGCACATTTGCAGTACTACAACTACCAAATTTCACATATACATATCCAAGGCGTTACTCCAAATATATGCTACTATATATATTTCCTGACAGTTAAAATCCAACTTACGTAAACCAATTCCTCCCCCTATATACCTCTTCGTTCTTACATAAATACGTATGCACTATACACACAACCTTGGATAGATATATATAATCACACACATTTTATGCATTCATTATATTTATCATCAAATTAATAGGTGCATAGCAAGTTCAATTTACAAAGTGAATGTAACATAATTAAAGCATTCCTAAAATTAAACATAATTGCTAGCAATTAACAGCACAAGATTAACAAAGCTAACAACACATAGGCGACATGAAATCCAAATTAATAAACAAAATACCCATATTGAGAAAACAAATCTCCCTCTTCTCTATACCATTAATATACCAATCCCTTTAACCCTCAAATAACAAAAAAGAAAATTCAAAAAATAAAAAAGTAATTAATAGCTGATCCTCATAGAACTTTTCTTAGAGGATCTACTTCAACATGTTTTCTTAAAGAACCCCCAACCCCTCCAACCTAGCTAATAATAAATACCGAAATTAATACATTAGAAATTAAGAAAGGCAGTGTCATGCATATATATACATACAAAGCTAAAAGCAACTCACTGGACCAGGAAATTCCACCCAAGTTCTTCAAAGCAATTAAGTAGCCCTTCTACACTGTGTAGTTGATGATGACAAATTAAACCCGGGTCAATGAGACGAATAGGATCCGAGGTTCCTCTCAGAGCAAATTTGATTTCTCAACCTTGATAGTAAAAGCAACAGGCTGATCCTTTTTTGCAGCTGACATGATCGCTCCGATCCAACTCTCCTCTCATCGAAAATTCTCCATTTTTTTTTTTTTGTTGTTGGTAATTCCATCCCAAAGTAGCCATGTAATCACTATGAAAGAAGTCAAGCAACAAAAAACTAACTAGCTAGCTGAAAAAACACCAATTAAGTTGATTTAAAAAAAAAAAAAAAAGAGGGAGATTAAGCAGAAAATGAAGCTGAATTGGCTTTGCTAGATCAGAGAAGGGACAGAAGGCCCCATGTTCGCAGGATCAAGCCAAGCACCAGCTGCTGCAGATGTTGGATTCCAATTATAAAGCGAAGGATTGGACGTCGAGTTGATCTGCTCAATTTGATTCTGCTGGCAATTAGAAACATTCCAATCCAACTTGTATTGCCCGCCTTCTTCCATTTTCACTTCCTTCATTGCATTAATATTTCCGCCTTTTCCGCTCCCCACCATTTGAAGCTCTTCATAGGGCACTAATCCATGAAAATTGTTAGCTGAAGCACGAATAGACTTTTGCTGCTGAAGGCTAGAAGCTATGAGAGAAGCCATTGTTGGTGCTGAAGTAGAAGTGAGTGTTGAAGATCCAAATATGGAATTGTAACTCGAAAGAAATGAATTTGAAGTGACAACATCTTGGATTTGATCAGTGGGATGATTATACCCGTTGTTTCGATGATGATGATGATGATGATCACCTGCAGATACAAGTCCTCCAGTTGGAAACCCTAATCCCAGATTATTGAATTGTGGATGAAGATCATGATGATAAGAAGAAACAGTTTCAATGTTTGAAACCCTAGAGTTGAACCTGCAGGGATATGGAAGACTGAGCTGATCATGAGAAGGATTAGTGGGTAAACCATAAAACAAAGGGTTAAGATTATGGTTTGAGGTTGAAGATATATCGATCTGGCCGCCGGGTTGATGATGAAGATTAATATTAGGGTTTGGAGTTGATATTGATGATGAAGCTGGTACTGCATCGCCAGCTGATGAGGCTGGTCTCTTCACCCTCTTGTTCTTCCTACATCCACCACCAACTGGAACATTCCTTAGGGTTCCACCTCTAGTCCAATAACGCTTACAGGCCTTGCAGAAGTGCCTTGGCTGAGACAAACTGTAGTTGTTGTAGTAACAGAACTTGGTGTTTGATGAATCACATCGAGGACACTTGAGGGCTTGTTGTTGTTGTTGTTGTTGGTTTTGAGACTCTTGGCTTGTTTTCTGATCCATAACCCTGCTACCTGTTGAAGCCATCAATCCTGCTTTCTCATCTATTATCTGATGATGATTCTGCACCAAAGAGAAAAACAAAAAAGAAAGAGTTGTTTCAAGGTGGTGTTTTTAGGGTAAAAATAACAACACAACACTTATATTCTCTTCCAAGAGCTACCAAACAAAAATGGGGTCATCAGTCATGTTTTGTCTAATAATTGTGTGTGTGACTGTGTGTGTGAGAGAGAGAGAGTGTGTGTTAAACCTGTGGCCACCCGTTGGTAGTTGAAGAGATCACTACCATCTTCTCACAGTTACCCAACATTTCCTTTCCTCAATGGATTCACTAGAACAAACAGTTAACAGACAAAAGAGCAAGTGGCTACGTGAGTGAGTCCTTCTCGATGGGGTTTTTAGAGAGAGAGAGAGAGAAATCTAGAGAGATTTTATTAGGGAAATTGATCTTTCATAATTGTTTAATTTGAATTTCACGTGATGGGTCTGATCTAGAATAAAATGAGATTAATTTTTTAATGAAATTGAAAAAAAAATAAAAAAATAAAAAGACATTCCAAGTCCAAGATAGGACACACAGGTAAAGTAAGCATATAGCAGATGAATCTCGAGTGGTTCGAGAAAGAGAACAATTTACATGACATTTCAGAACCCGACTTTACTATGTAACATCCATTCCTTTGTTAGAGATATACTATATAGATATATAGATAGAGGGAATCCCTAGAGCACAATACTCGAGACAGTAACACAGCAAATCCCACTTCTACTTTCTTTATTATAATTAATTATATTAAAATTATCATTATATATAATTAAAGCATAATATTACTATTTGTACCCACCAAAATAGTTTTTGTATCTTCCTCCTCCACAACAAATTCCTTTTCATATATTAAATTTCCGGATAATAATTAGTTTTTAACAAGTTGACGGAGACTAATTGCGTTTGATTTCTTAATAAAACATGAATTATTAGACCCTAACCATCACATCTATCAAATTTATGTCATGGAAATTTCATAAATCATGTTTCCTTAGTGTACAGTTGAGCTTGTATTTACATATATTATACTCCTCTCGCATGAATTTTATACCGAATCATTCAGAAATTGAAGAGAAATACGAATCTTTTGCGATACGTACAACACAGGTTTTATATGTCACACAAATCTCATCACTCACAATTGTAATCTTGATTCCAACTAAGTGGAAAAGAGCTACAATTATATATTGGGAAGAAGATTGTTCAATTGTTAATTTCCTGAAAAAAATTGTTTACTTGTTTTTTTTTACACTATTAGTTGTATGGTGAAAATTTGAAGAGAAAGGGACAAGAGAGAGCATGTGGGAGTCTACATCTCGTACACAAATATGGTAATGACCACGCTTTAATCGCGAGGCTGTTGTTGTGCTTCTTCTTCTTTCCCTTTCTCATCCCCCTTTGGTTAGGAAAAAAAAACACATTAATGGCGTCAGTCATATACTCCAGTATATGCTATATATATATATATATATATATTATAGTATGTATTATGTGGGATTATTTTGTACCATGTATAAGTTCCAGACCCATGTGGTGAGCAGCTCAGCTCCTAAGCAAAAAGCAAGAAAAAGCAAAGCATTGTTAGGGCCGGGGAACAAACGGATTTTGTAGTCTCCCAAGGGATTTTCCTTTCCCCCTAACATCCCATCATTATACCCCCCAGTCCAGTCCTCTCCCTAGGTATATATTTAATTTTGATCTTATGCTAAAATTATAATATTAGTTACCGCCATTTTGTTTATCTGGGGAACCCAAGCTCAAGCTTTATGTTTCAAACTCAATTGCATATATATTAGCCGGCCAAGTTTCTTCAACACTAATATTACTTCAGCGAGGCTTATAAATTAAGTATCAACGTAGCTAGAATTGTCCTGCATGTGATTATAAAATGTTAATTATAATCCCTCAAGAAACTAGCTGCATATAGTGGACAAATTCTATAACGAGTAGAAGATATGAAAAATTAAAAATTGACCCAAATGATGCAAAACATTGTAATAGTAAATAGATGAGAGCCAAATATTTGCCAACAAAAATAAATTTTAGATTAGACTCCGGAGCTAAATTCGTCAGTATTCTTTACACATCTGGTTCTAAGCTCAAATAAAGGAAGATGAATCCATTAAGTATGTTGACAGTCACGGTAAAACTTTACCATGATAAATATGAACATGAATCTTAAGAATAGTTCTGATATCAACTTGGCTAATAACAAATTTAAACTAGAATAAACATAAACAATTCTAATCAATAGTGTTAGAGTACTAAGTACTCCGTCTATCCCAAAACGAATGTCTCTTTTAAAAAATTATAAGTTACACTTTCCCAAAAAAACATTTATTTTAAATCATTGAAAGTAATTACTTAAAAACTTAATTTGCGCTCCATTCAAATTCAACCAAGCAAACTTAGGTATATCACTACTGAGCATGACATCGTCTAGTCAATTTAGACCTAAATCAAATACCAAAGTAGCTAGTGGAGATTTGTGTGATATAACGTGGAAGTCTGGAACTAATGTGCAAGTAGGTCATGGACCATGGTAGGAACACATACATATATATCTATATATATTAATGTGTTTGTGTGTGTATTGTGTATATACTATACAAAGTACAAAACTATACAAACTACAAAACAGAGAGAGAGAGAGAGTGTGTGTGTGGGGAATGGTATTGGTCAAATCAGAGGTGGAGGTGGGTCCTACCAAACCCACACCTCAAACTTCACACTCACTCACCAGGGCCACCACTAGACAAGAGATTCCAATTTGGCTAACATGAAAGAAACCCAACGCGCACGTTAAAGAGAAGGGAAGAGGAAGAAGACCGAGGCACTAGTGAGTCGAGTCAGAAATAAGAGGAGGACTAGATAGTAATTGGGACCACGTACACAGCCACACCAATACAGCATCAAATCCAAAGCCAAACAGTACCCATCAAATTAAGGCTGACCACATTGCACCCCAAACAATGTGCAGACAAAGATCTCACTCTCCATTTAGTTTCGTTTTTTCTACTTCTTTGGACAAACTCACTTTGCTATATCAATTCCTGATAATAACTATACACTTCTTAGTGCTCATTTTGGGTTGCCCCACATATATTCTGCTTTTCTTTGTCGTCGCTAGTGCAATTATGAGACTATGTGATGTGCTCCATCATATATATATATATATATATATATATATATGCTCCTATTAGAGTTTTGTTTTATTAAAGGATCTTTGACCTAATAATATAATCTCATCGTCTTCAAAAAAGAGAGGAGGAATTTGAGTCCGAGCGTTTTAAAAAACGTGTGTGTTTGTTTTATCATCCAAAGAAAAAAGAGTTGTGCTTAATTTATCCTTTATTTAGACTGTTTACAATGGAAATATATGTCTAATGTCTAATTTTATGATGTCCAATATATATAGATATATTAATAAATTAATTGTGTGTATATGTTTTTTGGTGACTCATCTATCATGTACTTCACACCGTACTTTCTGATATATATAGTTTAAAAGGTTAAATAGACGGTCATAGTGTTTACATGCTAGCTCAAATGTTGCAACAAATGGCACCAAGGCAGTGACCAACTAGTCTATTTTATGATTATAAAAGGAGGGTTTTGGAGATAATTTAACCATTCATTCACCTAAAAATAAAATACTGTATACAGAATCCACATATAACAACATTCGTTCATAAATTGCCATTATTATTATTTATTTTATTTTTTTACATGATAAGAAACTCACTTATATTTGGCTATTAATCAATATCTACAAAATAGCAACCCAAGAAAAAAAAAAAGGTGGGGTCCTTCTATTATATATGAAGAAAAAAAAAATGATATAGGGTTTTAAAGTCAGTTCTTTTCGATGTAAGTGGGGGATGGACATAAATATAATTGTATATGTGCCTAACTTACGAATGCTATTCAGAAAGAAAAAAAAAAAAAAAAAACTTTTGAATACTGTAATACGACTTATACTGTAACACTGTATGATTTTAGTGGTTCAAAAATATGTGCTAAACGCTTTTGATGTTGTAAGGAATGGATGAAGTGAAAGGGACATTTTATAGCTTGTGATCCAGCAGTGATTGACAAAATGTGGAAAACAAGTGCATGTTTATGATGATGATTTATAAGCAGCTCATAACCACTTGTGATATATACATATTTGTATATATAACTATACACGAGGAGGGAATAATAATGAATAATGAATTTGATCAGACTCATATTATATATACATGTTTATTACTACGGGATTCCAATAAATAAATAAACTCACCTGAGTTGTACCTTTGACCCAGCCCTGGGTCCAAACCAGTTTCGTGGAATCTTCACTCCATTCCCTTCACATAAGGTTAAAAGGTGTGGACTATTCCTTATGGAATTTATTGTACCTCCATGTCCTGTGGGGCCCTCGGAATGTTGGTGGGAAATTGTTCAATATTTTTTATTGCCATTTTTTTATTTATTACATACACAAATACCAATCGCACAAAAAGAGTGTGTGTTCCATCCTTGTATTGGTGGACTCGTTTGTACATGATATACCCTATCATCATCATGTTGTGAAAATGAAAAAATTGATACAAATGATAGCGGTTGTCCAAGGGTCAATCCTAAGTTGTCACCATGTCATACTGATTTTTATTTATTAACATAATATATAATAAAGACGTACATAAATTTTTAAACTGATCTTTGGTTAATTTTGTTTGGTCTTATAGTACATGGAATGGACAGGGTGTGGTGGTGTTACTAAAGCGGTAAATGGTCAGGTCTTTAGAGCCTTTCGTGTTAGGAATTTCAGGTTGGATCTCCCTCCCCCATTAACTACTAACCATTATTAGAATAAAATAATAATAAAATAAAATACAATGGATGGGAGTGGATCCTAGTTGTTACCTGAAAGCCTTTATTCTATCAGCTCTCAAAATGATGATTTGTTGGATCACATTCACATTCAGTCAAGACCAAATAAATTTTCAAACAACTTACACTTTCATAATTTTTATTACAGGCTTTACAGAATTTTTACAAAAAAAAAAAAACAAAAATTATGCGGACCGTGCTATAATAAGTCCATAGTATGGATTTGTGGTGTTCTAATGAACTGGGCTAAAAACAGCCCATAAGACATTTGTGGAAGACCCATTTGCATCATGGCACAATTGTCATGATTCAAAATGTTCCTCATCTTCACGCATTAAATTATGTTTCTTTGAGTCTAAGGTTTTCTTTTTATTATTATTTTTTGATTAAAAGTAAGGAGATAATTATACAATTTTGTTGGTTGAATAGAAAGAAAATAAGGCATGAAAAAAAAGTAGTTATATGTGTCGGTCAAAATTTTGACTGACTCGATCTATTATTAATAAATTTTTGA